GGCCTGACTCGGAGGCGTGCGCGATCGGACGGGTTTCTTAGGCTCCGTCCTAACAAAGGCAATCAAGGCATCTGAAATAAGTGAAATATCTATTACGAGCTATGCTCAGTATATTGACTTCTTTCTCACATTCCAACCTGGTTGTTCGCTATTTATGACTTCCTTGTAAAAATTTGTAGCATTATCTCATTCGCTCGCTTTTGCTGTTGCCAGTGTATGTTCAAACCGATTGATACATTCGTTAAGATCACCGTCGGTAAACCCAAGTAACGGATTAATTTCAATCCGTGATTCACAAATGCACTTTTAGTACATCCCTCAAACAGCCAGGGGCGCGTCAGACCCAAATTACGATGACCTGTCTATTTTCATCGGTGCAAAGACAAGCGCGATTATCGTTCATGCATTCCACAGGCGCGTCCTCACACCGGCTTTCATCGAGCGCTTGGATCTGACATCTTACTCCACATATCCGCATACCAATCAATCGCGATTATCCTTCACCCATTTGAACGCGTGTGACAGCCCACCGATAGACCGCATGGCCATGGCTTTGGTAACCACTGCAACGAAAATGATCACATTTGAGTACCCCACAGAGTTGCAGAAAAACCGTTGAAGCTTACATAAATGTATTTTTAGTAATTATAAGTCGTCGGTTGTCTCAGCCTAGCTCTCCTTTGGAAATCAACAAAAGCGCTGTTTAACTCACATGTACAGTCCAATAATGGACCCGAAACACGAGCATTAGCCAAGGTAAACAGTTTCAACTGATCCAGTGCTTCTCCAATTGAGATAACTTCCAGCACAATAAATGCTCCACATTCATCTCCGTCTTTGCAACGCTTCGCTGCGTTCGAAACTAGTTCATCTAATGACTAGAAAAGAGACTGGATGCAAAACATTTAGATAACCCAATTCTTCATGAAATTCTAAACAAGCGACTTCTTCTTCAGGAAGACGGTCATCAAGGCTCAGTGAGTAAAGTTATCAATTAGATTGCTTTTATCCTCTGGTGGCGACACCATCGGCTGATTAAATGTTGGTTTGAACCCAGCTTTTACGAAAGCGTTGCTCAGTACGTGTGGATGTACAGATACCCAAGGTTTCTTGACTAGATGCATGTCCATGAGGATGTCCACTTCGGATTTCATGTTAAACTCCAGTATATTCCAGTAACTGTTTCCGAAACGACCAAATCACACCCTAATCCACTGGTTTTAACATCGAAGAACAGTTCGGAGGCAGCCGTACTAATGTGACATTGAAGAATACTGCGACTTTCTTATGTCAAGGGGCGTTATCTATAAATAGTAAAATAGAATGTCTTTGAAAAACCCTCTTGCGGTTGACATCGGACAGCCAACAGTGAAATAACGCACAAGTCATGCGTGGGTTCTTTGAATAATTATGAGTGAATTTAAGGCTTTTTCGATCCAGTCCCCACAGACACCGTGGATTCTGAATTTTTTAATAGCCTACGGTGATAAATTTCCACCAGTCGTGCTCCCACAGATCAGTAACCTGACTATTTCTTTGGATTTCTTGGATCCAGAAACTGTTTTTCCTTTGAGATTCAATGTCCCTTCTGGGAGCCCCTTGTTATACAAAACTGTTTTGTCTGTACTGAAAATATCACACTCCGCGTATACATGGTCCAGCTGCGGTAACTCCGCTCAAAACTCGTCCACTACCTCACATGGGACCGCCAAATTTTCCCCACAAACCTATAAAGTAGTAGTAGTGAGTAGTTGCTTGTCTGAGCAAGAGCAAAATCAAATTTTGAAAGTCTTGAAGTCATGATGATACATTCTTTGTACTAGCTGGATTGTCTTCTTGCAAATGTTGCTCTCAGTCATGGGGTGGTTCAATGGGATATAACGCTGTGAACGGCTTTTCTTAAAGAGCTGTGAGTTGCACTTGTATGATTCAGCATTTCCAATTCTAATCGATAGGCGCTGGCACATTTTGAAGTCCAGTGCACTGTCTTCGATTTTTAGAATCGGTGTGTCTTCCTCGCAAAGATTATCCAATCAGTGAACAGTTTCGTGTTCGCGTCATACTAGGTGAAACGCCGTTGGCTGAGTGTGACATTGCAGGTTGGCAGGTCAATAACGAACATCGATCAACGACCAAGTGAGTAGGTATCAGGGAATGTAACATATTGAGGGGGGAGGCGACATTGTATGATCAGAAACTACGTTAATAGGCTTACGGTTGGTTTGGGTTTTCCAAAAAGGGAAGATATTGGAAAATGCGACTTCTCAGGAGTGTGACATAGCAGGAGATTGACTGAAATACGAAAATGGATGTTTTCTCATTGAACGTAATGCATTTTTCGTGGAAAAAATATTTTCTCTCCCATCAAAATGTCAATGTTATTGGTTCATGCACATTCATCGCAGGTCACACTTAAAAGAATACATCCGATTCTCGAACAAGGATTAAATGCAATTTATAGTACACAAGAACCATGACCGATCGCCAACTTAATATTTTTTTATTTTGATGGTTTCTTCAAACTAAATACTCGATGATTTCCTGGCTACACATCTTATATCAGTTGACTCCTTCAAACTCTTATTTTGTTTTTTCCATACTTTGCTGACTGTTGGTAAACACCATTCATGAGCACAATGAACGAAAATTCGTCCCTTCTACATGAAATATAAAGCAATCCTTGACATGGTTGCACTGTCTTCTGCATTTAAGCTTCACACGATTAGCCAATACCCTTTTTTCTTCCACGGCAAACAGTGGGTCGAACGGTCTAGAGGGCAGCGAAAAATCTTTGAAAAGTTAATCAGGAAAGCTGTCAAACAAAAACATGATGGTATAACCCTGAGATCAAATATATGAGTACATTGATCACTATGCGATTAGGAATAGGGTATTATTTTTTCTTGATCACAAGTTAATCATGAATTCAAACCTATCTTTACTCAAAACCTCCTGATGCATGAAAAAATTCCTTTAGGAATGGATTTCCCTAGCATTATGAAAGAAGAACAGAAACTTGCTATTCTGAATTTCTACCTTTCACATATTATTCCCGTTTTACAAATCTGATTAATTTTTACGTCTTTTTCATCCATATGTCTAAATGTGAACTTTAAAGTTCTTTTCATTTTGCTTCCTCTTATTAAATATACAAAGATGCAATTGTCACGAAGTGGCAAGTGACCAAAGGGCTGTCATACAACACAATGGAAAAAGTTCGGCGGGGGTGGTGGGTAATAATTTTGTGAGGCTACAACAGGGCCTGTTGGGCCGCCTTTGGCTGCCGTTCCGTGTTTTGTTGGAATATGGGTTTTCAGACTCATCGGCCATTTGAACTATTCCAATATATCACCGCGTATGTTGAGTCAAAAGAAGCAGTTTGCCGAAATTGTTTCACCCTTCATTAATTTTTATTATTCGAGGAATCACTCTGAGAAAATTTCATATTTTTTGTCCCAAAACGAAAAAAACAGAATGCTCCAATCATAGTCAGTGGTTGGGTTGGTGAGAACAAACGCATTCATGATGCTGAAGGAATGGGAATCGATATACTGGATGATTTGTCCGGTCAATTCAACTTTCGGTAAGTGCGAATCATTACCTTTCGAGCGGTTCTTAGATATGCATGATCAAGGGAACCATTAACCCGAAATATGCATTTACTATCTATACCATTTGCTGGCGGGGGTGCATTTAGTATTGGGTCCGGGAAAACGCGGCAGTTTGAGAATAGGAGTGAATATTGAACTCTAATACACGCTTCTGAATGATTAAAAAGTTGACCTGAATAAGTGAATAGACGTCAATTATATTTCAAAGCGCAAATATTATCCAATGAATACAAGCAAGTTTGGTTAGAAGTGATATGGGCTCAATGCAATTTGCAGAAAACATAATAAATGGGTTTGTACAATAAAAAATATACCTCCCTTTTAGAATCATAAAACACTAGTATCCCTTTAGATATTAATTATTCTCCATTTAAAACTCTTTCACATATGAACTTGACCCATACGATATTTTAATTGGATAAGGATGGCCTAATTTGTCGTTCTTTCCAGTCAACTAAATATCCAATAGATAATATCAACATGGTCTCTTTCACTGTTATTATCTTGGCCAAAATAAGCCGGAAAATAATAAAGCCGTGAATATATGGGTTTATCCGAGATAAAACAATGTCACAAGTCAGACGCTTCTGTAGAAATTTCTTGTTACCAATTTCCCTCCAGATTTTCACGCAAGCAGCAAGAACCACCATGATCACAGGATGTGTCGAACTCAACGACTTCGTGAAAATTTCATCAGCTTTGTACATTTCTCCATGGTTTCACCTGTGACCTCAAACAAGGAGATTCCCTCTGTCCCCCTCTGCGATGTGATTGGATCATTTCTCCTGATGTGCGGCACTTGGAATCCCTCAATCCATCACGAGACTGTCTGATCATCAGTTCGTAATGGTTGTGATTCATGGGTTGTCACCCGTAATCCATCCGTCTGATGACCTCTCGCTCCGGTTAGCTAGGCAAGCACCAGGTCCCTTATTTCGTTTGGACAACCCGACCGATCGATAAATCAGCCCGGTCAGTCGTGTAATTTTCGAGCCGGCACAGGAGGAGGATAAGTTTTGAATCTGATGCTGCTTGAATGTTGGTAGAGAATCACTACAGGAGAATCGGCTGTGAAGCGATGCACCATGTGGGAAATTCGGATTGCAAAATACTCAAATGATGATGACACTAGGCCAACTCTTGATTCATATAAGATACAGACACTATTCTCCGAAGCGGGTTTGATAAACGGATAACCATAATAAAACTTTGAGCTTGTCTTAAGTACGCACCCAAATATCCAATAATATAGGCCGACGAAAAAATATTCTTGGTATTTTTCCAAACTGGCTGTTGTCGCGTTGAACGATCTTGCTAACTAGGTCGGAGATAGAATTCCTAGGGAAAGAAAGAAAGAACAAATATTATGGAAAATTTTCATAAAACTTGTTCAATATGTTTTCCATTCTGCATTCTGCATACATTCTAGTGAACAGTGTTATCCATGACCCGTGGAGCCTTTTAAAAATTTAAAAATAACTGGGAAGCTCCTCAACCGTACATGTAACGAATGCTAGTTAATCACTGACAACGTTGCAATCGAAGCCATTTTCAAACTAGCTATTTTTTGACGTTTCTCGAAGATGGACCACTATAATAGGATACTACTCCGAAAGACTATTAATCAAGTCCAGTTCATGCATTACGCACAGCATGATCATCATCTGAAAATCTGTGCGTAGATTCAGTCTCAAGTGATGTATTTTCTGGACGTAGCGGGTTTCATTGCTGTTCTTTCTGTTGTAGCTATGAGCTCTATCTGCCTCCTGATGGGCAATATGGTGTGATTGGTCCTGATGGGAATTGGACTGGACTCATTGGCGAACTGCAGAAGGGTGTAAGTTTTAAAGCCCTGTATTATGATGCCAAACAACACTGTTGATTGCTTATTACAGCTTTTTGTGCTGTCCCTCCCCTCACTAAATAATGGACCAGATTTTCGGCGAGAAATGCATCAATGTAACTCTCGATTTTAGAGAACGTTTAGGAGCTGAATTTCCAAAAAAAATTATTTTTTGAAACATCTTCATACTCCAAGTGCGTTTATTACAAATTTTTATCCACCTTCTTCCCTTTTTTAGAACATTGACATGGCTGTTGCGATACTGACAATTACCAGTGAACGGACAGCAGTAGTAGATTTTCTCGGCACATTTCTCAATGCTTATGTGAGCACTCTGATCGCCTATCCACCGTTGCAGTCAAAACTTTTTCAAATGTATGAACCGTTTGAGATTCAGACATGGATACTTACGTGTTTTTGTATACTGGTCACCGGAGTGGTCATTTATCTACTCAATCACTTCAGTCCGTTCAGTGCATGGAATTTACNGAATTTACAACTGCCTGGAGCCACATCGGATGAAGTGTCATTTGTGGAGAACATGTGGTGCACGTTAAGATGCATGGTGCTGCAGCGTGAGTTTGCCTAAACTACGCCAACGTTGCTTTTTGTAATTTCCTTTCATCACGTAAACAGAAAACGAATGAGTGCTACAAGCATCTAGTTTAGACAGAAAGTCAAATGAGGCACCTATCCTGAGAACCCAGCAGTAATGTGTAAGGCTCAGTAGCCTGTATGCCTGCGTTTGAACCATCTCTGTGGATGTGTATTGCTAACGATTCCTAGGAAGCATAAGACGAATATATTTTTTTACGTTTGCTTCAGGGTAATGTGCGACACACTGGAGTAATGAATCTAATGCTAACCATTTCATATCTCAAAAATTTAATGCGTCATCGCTTAATTGCTCATCAAGGACGTACTTGATTGAACTGTTCTCTGCTCATAGTACGATGTTTGAATCTTACATGTCTTGCGTACTGATCTAACAGAAAATGTTTATGCAGTTTGTTGAGATTTAAGTTTAAACTACTGCCGTACTCTCTCTCTCACTAAATTAAAAGCACTGTGAAAAACTGTTATTCTTTTCTGAAAACAAATATCGTCCTGAAGCAAGATTTTATGCGTAAAACAATGGTATGTCAATGTTTATTCTGCATTACAGTTTTCTTTGCGAAGCTTGGAAGTATTTCTAGATTTTTTCAATCACTTTGCTGCCTCCAGTAAACCTGGGAGCCCTCCAACTTATGCTAGAACTACAGAGAACATAAATCACAAACCAAATTGTGCACTCGAAAAATACCACCAGCAAAGCTTACTTAACCTTCTCGGTTGGTTGTGAAAGGAGGATTATGCAACGCGTTAGTTTTAGCTATGAATATTTGAGTTGGGGGTAATAAATAGTCGTTCGTATCTTGGGCATGAGGAAATAGTACGATCATGTTACTTCTGTTTTTGAATGATCCATAAGAAAAATAACGATTGCTAAGAAACACAGCTTAGCGACGGATGCCAGATGATTGTAATTGGAATGAACAGATTGGAATCGTTTGCTTGGTTTCCCCAAAAGGACGTCGAATGTATTACATCGATAAGATCAGGATCACCATTCTTGTTTCGCAAAGGGCCCATATGGCATCATTTTCATAGATGTCGAGGTGCGATCCAGATCGAGCGTGTGTTCATGTGTTGGCCAAGGGGTAAAAACTGAACAAAAATTCGCCTCAAGCTTTTCATGTGTCCATCTACCCACCGCAGTTCAATATAACTTCAGTATATTGGTTCTATTGTCTTTAATTAAAATTGGCCATGGAGTTTTCTAATAATTAAGGGAAATAGACGTACAATAGAAATCGCATGTAGTGTGATGCGAGAAACCTGAAACTTGCCATGGACTATAAGCGGTAGGGGAATAGGTCAGATTAGATAAAATGTCTGGGGTAAACAATTGTTTCACAAAGGTTTAAATGGAGATTATGGGAAATCTGTAATTATATTTGAAAATCGTTTGCGAGTGGGCAAATCATGAAATAACAGTGAAGTATCACCAGAAAAATGCTCTTTGAGATAAGAGAATAAATTTTTGATTGTTGTATTGTAGACTGCTACCATCCATGAGTCTGAGAGCATAAACAATCTCGTTTAATAACACGCATATCATATCAGCATATTGTTGTGGCCTACAACTGAATATGTTTGTCATGCGTGTGGCCACACTGATTGATCGATTAACTGGCTGACTGTGTGAATGCGGGTTGACGGTATTCGTATGTGGTGTGACATTTGAGTCTATGTTGGCCTGCCTGACTGCTATACTGCGCTTTGCCGTTTCTGCTTTCTCCCCGGCCTATGAGCTTGCTACATATTTTCCGTTCCCTATAAATGTGTTGCTTAATTGATTGTGTGCTTACCCATCTACTTAACCCGGGATACATCACATGTCATTGTTGATTGTAAGCTCAAGTGATTCCTAGTTACTACAAAAATTATTGATCGTTTTAGGGACAGAATGACCTCACGGTGAACGTATTTTTAAAGAGTCTCATGTTTGGAAATGCAAACATATTGCCTGAATGACTGACCGAAGTGTCCTGTTCCGTGGTTATTGATATTGGGGATATCCAACCAATAAAGACTTTACAGATTCATTACAATGTTCAAAGGATGGAGAACAGCTGAGATGCAAACAACAAAGATCTGGAGAAACGTAGAGCAAGGACTCAAGTAAGTGGATGACTTGAAAGAAAAATACCGAATACCAGCTTTTAATGAGCGTTGACAAGTGGAAAACCGGTCATGGTATTTCAGAGTCATTCGCCCGTTCCTTCATATACTACTGATATATGCATTCATTTGTGCCTAAGAGGGTTAGAGAAAGGTCATGTCCAAGGATTCTAGGAAATACCCGAAAGATGATAGGAAACGCAGGGTCTCAGAATTATCAGGTAAGCGTTTCATCTCATTGATTGACTCGGAGACACTGTGACGGAACGCAATCCGGTTGTTTATCAAACAATACATAATCTTTGCTTACTCGAAGTATACGATTACATCCACCAGGAATGCTGCAAATAGTACGACAAAAATTCGTGAATGTCACTTTCATATTTTTTTGTTCATCGATGATCTTTTATGTTTCAATATATTTAAAATCACTTGCGTGGCTCGGTTTACAGAGTTAAGAACATGAATGAAAAACTATTACTAAGATATTCTCCCCGAGGTGTATTAAAAGTAGATGGAATTTTACTTATTCCCCACGCAATTCACACCGAAATTCTGAAATATTGATGAGAACATTAATAAAGGGTCACGTGCAACAAGGGGCAATAGTTGTTACACCCAGCTACGGGTAACTTAATGCATTAATAAGTTCTCTCTTCGTTGAATAGTTACATTCGTTGCATAAGGGGTATCACAATGCTATTTTTAACCTGTGGATGGAACAAACCACTTTGATAAATGCTCTACTGTTCCGTGGTTGGTGATCGTCAATCGACGGGTGCATGTATCGCGAGGTCAACCATGTTATCCTCATCATCTGCGAAGTGCTTTCTCATTAGATGGACAACCTTTTCAATGTATTCAAGCTCCATATTAGCAGGTCGCTGCTAAAGTTCTAACGCAGCCGCTCCAACAGAGAACTCTGCATTCTTTGCGAACGTTTTAATTTTCTCGATTCTTTATCATAATATTGAACCTGGAGCTGCGTTTGTCAGGTAGTTGAATCAATCAGTCATTCTGTATGTGCACTGCCGTGCCCCTCCCCCCGCTTCCTTAAAAACGACCATGCGTTTTGAAAACGCTTCCAGCTGTGTTCCATTTAAATATCTGTGAAGGCAGTATCCGAACGAGAAACGCTACCGGACTGCAATCATTTGAGAATCCAATATCGATATTTATCCGTGGGACAATAATGACATTCTTCAAACCACATACTCAGCGCGCACATATTTCTAACTCATTTCACTCAGTTACATCCACACGTTGCTATCATCAGCATACGCACTAATCTATTGTCTTACGGTAGACAAAAATTTAATTTATCGCACTATCACTTCACATTCATACGATTACCTGCTCAAGTGGAGGAATCGCTAAACTGACACCACACCGTATCGCCTAACTCCATAATAACACCTCAAAAACAGATTATCTGCCAAGGTCGAAAACGGTCCAGCGTTGAAAGATAGATCGGGTGCATACAATGATATGTCTACAAGCTGTAATGGAATCCTAAGTAACCGGACGGAGTACATCCATTGTTGTTTCGTTTGCTACCAGGCGTGCTACAAGGAATGATAAGCCAACACAGCTGAAATAGACAGTTATGACTGGCATCTGTTTGTACTTATGTGCCTATAGACAACCGAGCTTTAAGGTTATTGCCTGTTTATTGAGATATTTGCTAGCGCTTATCGAGAGGTGCCGCAGTGCAGAGGTTGTCTTTATGTGTACTTTCATTTTCTTGTTGACTACTTTATTGAGGTTATATTTTCTTAGAGGTGTAACGTTTGCGATGTTTGGTTGTGATTCGGGAGGACTGCGATGTTGTCTATTTCTTGTTAAAATTTCTTGTTAAAATAATTTATTTATCAGTGTTAATCATAAAAAGGCTTGTATACCATATACTCATTACCGTGGTTTACGGTGATCAAAATAATTATTCGATCTCATGAGTAAAGATCGATGGTTGGATTGCTTTCAACGAATCACCATATTCCGACATCCATCCGTAGCACTTTACGCACGCATGCTCCATATTAGTTCTCACCATCTTATACACCTTTGCATTCCAAAACTAGCTTCACTCTGAACAAAAGAAGGAAATACATCAATCATTTGGTTATTCTTAATCATTATTAGATCTGCAACTTCCCCCGTCTATTCTGTTATTCGTTTCTCTTTCAGCGGGTACAATGTATCCATTGGCCTATTCAGCTCGTTCTTTGGTTCTGTTTTACTGGTTTTTAATCGTTATTTGGCACGCAAGTTGGCAGGCGACAATGACAGCATTTTTCAGCAAACGAACCTTGGTTATACCGGTCCATACCGTTCGGGAAATAGCCAATCAAAACAAAATTCGACCAATTACGTTGAGTGGTTCGAGTGTCTTCGACTTTTTTAAAGTGAGTCTGAACAAATTTGGATTGCCTTCTTGGTTGCAGTCATGGCACGATTCAGGAAAATAATTCCTTTCGCTAACTCATGATCATGCTTTTACCATTCTTTTCTAAATGCGGTAGGTAAGGTATCGATTCTAATTTTGTGAAGTACATAATTGTATGAGTATTCTTGTATTTTTAATTTGATAAGTTCTGTGTTATCAGAGATTACATTGAGGTCCAATCGGCCACGTGACTCAATTAGGTGTTCAGAGTTTGTGCGTGTGTGCACGTGTCCGCGTATTGGAGAGAAGGCCGAGTTGTGTCCATGTCTGTGAGCCCAAAGAAGATGAACAGCTTGGATGAGGCGGTTCAAAGGTCTCATTTGGACTGCTTCACTTTTAGCTAATATGATCAATTTGCATTATTTTGACCAGCTCAGGGGACTGGCTTGCATATTATTATTGTTGTTATTATCTTTTAC